TAATCTCATTTTATATGAGAATCTTTATATTGTCTGCATCTTGGTTAATGATATTTTTATTCAAAAAAATCTGAGGTAAAATTGAAATTCATGGGGATCTCCTCCTGTTTCTTTAATCAGCTTAATTAATGTTGCAGTCATTTTATGAGCTGATATTTCTAGAATCAGAGCAGTTCTCATGGTTTCCTTGATAATTTTAGTAACAGTAATGGTCTGATACTGTCTTTTGTTTTACAAAACATGTATGAATTCATTCTCTGAGTTGGACTCAGAACTTGATACTAAAGAGAATACTAACGATGAATGTTTTGCAACCCCCAAGGTACAAGGAATAGGCTTATCTTCTAAAGATCCAATAACAGTAACTGTTTTCTTTGCATGCTCCATTCTCGTCAATCCGATCTCTTTTCTTCACTTTTCAATAGAGACTAGAATCATTTTCCTTTTTCCTTTCTAATCCTTCAGAAAAAGTGTATCCTTAAACTTGTCAGATGGAAGCCTATCCTTGTCTGCCTTGATAACTTATATTTTTTTTATTTTTATTTTATTTTATTTGAGTTTTCATGCTATATTTTTCTATACAATGTTCTTATATCCGAAGATATTGTTGGCTTAGCATAGGAACAGCCACAAATAGTCATTAAGACTAATCCAAAGTAGCGTCCGTTATTGCCCAACATTTTTGCGTACCGAAGTACTACTCAAGCGCTGAGTTGGCGGTGGCGGGATTTGAACTCGTATCGTTCAACAGTCCGGGTTTTAACTTTTCCTTTAACGCTCTAACCATCTGAGCTATCCCGCCACAATTAGACTTATTTTTCTATCAGTCAACCAGAACAGTCCTAATCATAAAAAAACATTTCAAAACTTACCAAGAAAATTAAATTTTGATTTTTAAAATATATAACATTTTTAAAAAACAATAATTTGTAATAAATTAAAAAAAAATTATGCTTAAAAAGATTGATAAATAGCCTCTTACTGATCTCACAAACTGCACACGTGATTGATCATACTCTCTCTGAATCTTATGCTTGCTCTTCTTAATGTTCAAATATCTGTCAATATATTTTAATATATTACTTTGAAAGGTCACACGTCATTTTTGAATTAATAATATTTAAGGAAACTATTTGTAGTATTTGCTTACATGAAAAAATAATTGAAAAAGTTTACTATATTTGTGTTAAGTTCTTTATAAAAAGTTACCTGAAGCTGTTACTTAAAGGACACAAAACAATTGCTTTTTCTTAGAAGTTGGAACTTCATGGAGAGGAAGTTCTTGACAACGTCAGCTCTGGTTGGCAGCCTAACTGAGGACATCTTGACTGGTTTGCCAACTAAGAAGTATTTCTACAACCACTTTCTCTCTTTTTCCTTGTATGTTTTGGAACTTAAACATTTTCATTTTCCAAAAGAATTTCGCCTTATTTTTATCATTTCTAAAAATAATTTTGAAATTTTAGTTTAATAAACAAATTGGATTTATAAATTATGATAAATGCATGAAATAATTGAGATATAAAAAAAAGATTAAACAAATCAAAACTGATTGGTTAGATAAAACATGTTAATATTGGATTACAAATGTACATAACTTCTGATATGTAATGGTTATTGTGTACACTTCAAAAGAAAGAGTGAATCCTCAATTTGATCCTGTTCCACTAGGCTAAAATATAAAAGCAATTAGCACCCTACAATACATAAATTATTGAGTAAGCATGGGGGAGGGGCGTAAAGGTTGTTAGAGGGTGTGTAATTCCCACCCCCTCCCCAAATAAAAGATTTTAATTGTAACAAAATAATATAAATGTTAGTTATGCATGGGATTAAAATTGAGTTGATAGCCCTATTATTGCTGAAGGTGGGATACTACCCCTTCATGGGGGCTGGGGGTGGCTTTGCTATAAGATACACAGATGTTTATTTTAAATCTGACATCAATATCCTTAAGGAGTTTGCATGCAAATTTTATGTTGCTAAGACTGTTGTATCATGTTACGCCAAAATTTGTATGGTTTTAGTGATTGATTGATCTCTGTTATCTTGCATAACTTTAAAAAAACAGTTTGGCACCACAAGAAGCAATAGAGCTAGGAGCTTGATTTTTTCTACACATCATCTATATATGGTCATATATAAAATATGTCGTATACATGTGTATATTACACTCAGGTCTCTAGATGTTTGGCAATATGTAAAAATTTCAAAATTTATAAAAAATGTTGTCTACTTGCATGAGATGAAAAAATTGTTTTTTCAAAAAATTAAAATTCTATCCTAAAATCACTTTAAATTTCCCAACTTTTTAGCTTGCATACATACCAAAAAGAAAAAATTGTTCAAAAATGAACACCCCTAATGAACATATTATACATAGATATAAATACTTTATTTTAGAATAATTTTTTAACTTAACTTTAGTATTTAAGCATTGGTTATTTACTATTATATTAGCTAATGTAATTTAAAACCATATCTTACATTTTGGGTTTTTGTGGGTTTTTTCTAAGATTTTATATTTTTTTATTATTTGGTTTTGAGCTTCTAATATTTACTAAATTTATATTTTTTATAGTAAAAAAGTATGAAAATATTACTTAAGAAGGTAGTTGATCCAAACTTATTATATGTTGGTGAAACGACATGCTTTGTTTGGCTTGTTCTTTCAATAATAGATGGGACAAGTGAGTTCCCAACAAGTGATGTTGCCTGAGATAAAGTTTTTTATGAAATGATAGTCAAAAATCAACTATTTCAATATCCTGCAACACATTTCTCCGTTTCAAGGCTCTATTCTAACTATAGAAACTATACAAGGCTATTCTAACTATAGAAAATAATATTCTAACTATAGAAAAGCCTAGTAACTAAAGAAAGGAAAGATTTATCATTAGAACCATTATTTGATTTCAATTAACTCTTTGGATGAAAATTCTGACTGTGATGTCAATACAAAAAGCCTTTACTCATCCAAAACTTTAATAATAATCTACTTTGGGCACCAGTCAACTATCAGTTACAGTATCCAAACATTGTATTCTTGACAATCAACTCTTTAATGCAGCATTAGACCAAACAAAAACAACACCACAACAATGATGATAGTCACACCTGCGAAGATAATCATCACACCAGCAATAATTATCGTCACACCAGCTCTAGCTGCAATTGGTATTGATGCAAATAAATTAACATTTTTATGTACTTCTCTAATAGAAGCTTGAGCTACATCTGTAGCAGTAGAAAAAATTTTTCAACTTTCGGTTCCACTAGTTGTTTATTATGATGGCAAAGTATTGCCGTATGTTGATGGAACCATCAAACCAGATAAAACAATCGGCATTAATTTCTACCAATTGTTGTATCTGGTTTGGATATTAGGAAATTATTAGAATCCTTGAGATACCTGCTAGTACTGGTGCATTGATGGGACAGATTGTTCATTGCAAGATGCTCTTTGACACCAGGCTACTCATTCATGATTGCAGACAGGTTGTTCATTGCAAGATGCTCTTTGACACCAGGCTACTCATTCATGATTGGCCTGATGTCAAGGAGCATTATGCAGGTCTTTGCTGGGGAATCATATCACATATCACTTTTTTTTTTTAATAATTGGTTCAACAAAAACTCACTTTATTATGGCTTAGGTAGAGGGGGCTGGTAGAGGGACATCATTTATGGCATATGGGCCACTTCTAACCACAATTAAAAATCTGAATAATTGTTTAGAAATAAGAAGCTTTTTTTTTCATATTTAGAATAACTTTTTTTATTTTTATTTTTTTTTGTCTTCACCCCCATCTTCATCTTTGTTTTTGTAAATGGCATCTCTTGGCTGGGGTCATTTCTATATATACTTGTCTTGATCCTAATAAATTAAACTGATGCATATGATACTAAAAATAGTTGATTTAAATACATCTCAGAAATACGTCACCTTAAACAAAAACATCATTTTAGACAGTCTCAAAAGGTGCTGCTGTCCCTTGGCTGGGGTCTGGGAATAGCTTAGTGCTACATACATTCATATACTTGTCTTAACCCTAATAAGTAACATCGATGTATGTATCATTAACAATAGTTGATTTAAATACATTTCAGAAATATTTTATTTTTAACAAAAATGAGTCTGTAAAAAAATTACAAAGCAGGTCCGGGGAACCACTTTTCGTTATCAGTTCGCAAAAAAAAGTACAATGGTGTGCTTTTTTATTGAGTCTTGCCAAATAAGGTGTGTGAGGGTTAGGGTTATATATATACACACACACACATATATATATATCTACAAAATATATATATATATATATATATATATATATATATGTAGATATATAGATATAGATATATATATATATATAGATATATATATATATATATATGTAGATATATATGTAGATATATAGATATAGATATATATGTAGATATATGTAGATATATATGTATATGTATGTATGTATATATATATATATATATATATATATATATATATATATGTATGTATGTATGTATATATACATATATATATATATATATATATATATATATATATATATATATATATATAGTATGTATATATATATATATATATATATATATATATATATATATATATATATATATATATATATATATATATATATATATATATATATATATAAATAATAGGTAGAGCTAATAATATAGAATAAACTAAATGACTAGTAAAATAAATAATATATATAGTGTATAATTCAAGTTTCAAGCTATATATATATGTAATATATATATATATATATATATATATATATATATATTTATATATAATCTGTAAGTGTGTGAGTGTGTATATTTGTGTGTGTGTGTATATTTGTGTGTGTGTGTATATATATATATATGTGTGTGTGTGTGTTTGTGTATGTATATATATATATATATATATATATATATATATATATATATATATATATATATATATATAATATATATATATATATATATATATAAATGTTTAGATTTAAAAACGGGACTGAAAGTTGCAGAAGGTCACAAAGCAAGTTTTTGTTTGGAAGACAGTAAATGTGAAGGTGGTGTGAAAAAAGTTTTCAATTGCACCAATCGCGGTGATCAAGGAATCAGCGTTAATTGTGGTGATGTTTATAAATCAAACATTGATTGCCAATGGATTGATATTACTGACATTAAATACGGAAAATACAAACTAAGAGTAATTCTCAATCCTTTAAGAAACGTTGTAGAGTCAGATTATTCCAACAATATAGTTACATGTGAGATTGATTTTTTAAGCCAGAGCAAAGTTAACGTCACCTCTAAATGTGTTATAGGTATGTTTTATAGGTATGTGTTTCTGTGTCTCTGATAAATTGTAATTTAAATGCTTTGAAATCTATGTTTTTGGGTGTAAGTTATATTATTTTTAACTATTGCTTGCCAGATGGTTGTGAAAGAATGTCACACGGTGGAACGGGTGATGGAGCGTGTTGTAAGTTTCCGTTTGTCTATAAAAACAGACAGTACAATCACTGCACTACTGATGGTTTTAAGGAAAACGTTTTATGGTGTGCAACAACCAGTAATTACGATAAAGATAAGCTTTGGGGATTATGCTAATATTTGCGTCATCTTTCACGTTTTTAGCAACTGCTATTACCAAGCTAATCAACTACTCTAAGCTTAGGAACTATTTTAATTGGCCAAAAAGATTTTTTCCAACGGAAGTAACCCATAGAAAAGATGTTTTTGTTGAATAAATGTGTTGCTCGCATATTCGACATGAAAACAGATTCTTAAATTTTCAATGTCTGTTACTATGAATAGTTTATTACTGAATCCGACAAAGCTATGGTACATTAATCCAATTGTTAAACAAAAACAACATTAATATGCAACGTTTAGCAACTTTTTTTGTGAGTTTTACAACTTGATAAAAATGTGTGAATATCAAGAATGAATGAATGAATGACAAGTATGAATGAAGTATGAATGAAGTATGAATGAATAAATCGCGAGTATTAAATTTAATGATTTTAGGGGAAAACAATAAAGCCGTGATGTTTTCTGTAAATTAAACATCAATATTTGTCTATTAAAATTTAATTCTTATGTAATTTTTTCCAAATTTGAGTCTTTGTACCGTGAATTGTTACCGAACTTTTTATTTTGAGTTCTTATTTGACATTCTAAATTTTGTTTGATCGCTAGTTGTTGCAACTAGCGATAAAGTTTTGTTTTGATTGCGTTTTATTTTTATTTTACTTGTTTGCGTTCTTTAAAATTTTGATATAGTGGTATTATATATTAACTTGAATGATTTAAATAGATGTAACGTAGCTTAAAGCCAAATCACATCCAAGTTGTTTTGAAAGTAAATTGTACAAATATGTATAAAAACATGCTTAAAAAGATTCGGCTTTTTATATCTTTTATTAGAAGATATAAAATGCCAAAAAGTTTAAGAAAACCTGTTTTCTTTTCAACTGACTTCTTCAATTTAAAACCGTGGTTTTCTCCTTATCTAAAATGAATTTTTGAATTAATTTAAACATTTTTTTAATTCTTAAGAAAGCTCTAGGAAAACCTTATGATATATTACAGAAATAGCATTTAATGGCGTTCTTATTAATGACATTTAATGAGGTCATCATTAGCGACATTTAATGAGCTCCTCATTAATAACATTTAGCAATGACTACATCATTAAGACAGGCCCGTAGCAACCGGGTGGGCAGCAGGGTCTCCCTAATAATTTTTCAAATAAGTAATTTTGAAGAAATTGACTCAAAAAGACTAAAAAAAAAGTATATATATTAGGGTGGTCCAGATTTGTGTGGCAAAAATTCAAAATATGTCTACATTCTCTCCACAAGCCTAATTTTGTTCGACTATGCTTAGAGAATAACCATACAAAAAATTGGACCAAAAACTACAAGAAGCTCTACAGAGCTATGGCTCATTGGAAAGGCATCTAAGCAGCTCTTATCATCAAGGTTGGCAACAAATAGAGATGTCCTCCGGTGTTTCCTCTTTCATCATCTGGAAGAGCATCTCACAATAAAGGAGAGCATTCATCATACAATTCAAGAGCTAATTGTTGTGTGGAATAAGACAAGAATCCCAACACAAAGAATTGATTCTGGTGAAAGAAAACTTTGGAAATTATACGATTCTTATCAGCTTCTTAAAAAGAATCAAGCTACAGACCTGGAAAGCTGTAGTAAATTAAACAACAAATGTTCAAGGACAAACATTATGAGCATTTTGACTTGGCAACTAAAACCGCAATGGAGACAATAACCATTGCTAAAGATGAGCAGTTTCTTGCAATGCAGTGAGAAGATGTTACTAGCTGCAGCATGGCCGGAGTTAACATGAACCACTGGAGTGTTGCTGTTACAAAATAGCAACACTCCAGTGGTCCTGTCTCAGCCAACATCACCAGCTCAGAAGATAGTTAAAACAGCGACGATGATCCGAGTTTTGAGATTCTGTCTTCTGCATTGCAATCTGTATCTTCTACACCAAAGCCAAAGTGTCTGAAAAGTATTGTGTCAAGCCCAGAAGTTGCTAGACAGTTAACTTTCCAGATTGCAAAGCTATGTTTGTTGTTGCTTCAGTAGCTAAAGCACTAAAACATCCTCTTGCAGACTTACGTCTGTCTCAAAGTACAATCAGGAGATCTCGAATGTCTACTCGTAAACATATTACTCAGAATGATAAAGACAACTTTTCCATTGAATTTCCGTTGCTTCTACACTGGGATGGGAAACTGCTTTCAGATATTACTGGTTCAAAAGAAACTGTGGACCGCGTTACAGTGATTGTTACTGGAAATGGTTTGAAGAAATAGCTAGAGGTTTCAAAAATTGGAAAAGGAACAGATCTTTAAGTAAGCTGCTGTTTGTTCCAACAGCAGCTTACTTAAAGATCTTGGACGATTGGAAAATTTGAGACAAACTTCAGGGTTTAGTCTTTGACACAACATCATCCAACACAGGTATTTACAAAGGAGTATATGTTCTAATCGAGGAAGCAGTTAGTCGTGACCTTGCAAGTATTGGTTGCCGCCACCATGTTCTGGAGAATGTTATAAGCAATGTCTTTACAGTTCTCTTTGGTGGAACAGGGGGACCTGAGCTTGGTTTGTCCAAACAGTTTCAAAACAAGTAGCCATATATTCAGCAGGCGAGATTCTAGAAAAAAGATCTAGTAGAGCTTGCATTGTTTGTGGCATTAATTTATGGACGTTTTTGGCACAAAAAACGTCCATAAACTAATGCCACAAACAATGCAAGCTCTACTAGATCTCTACTAGATCCGCTGGCTGTAAATGCTCCGTTTAATGATGCTCAAATGTTGAAATAGTTCCAAAAGTATCCAAACCGCATAATCGCGGTTGTGGTTGTGGTTTGGAAGCAAAATATAAGAACTTCTGTTTCATAAAAAAGACACTTTACAAACTACATATAATAAAATTCTTTGTTAAAAAGAAATGTTCCATTTATTAGGGGTAAAAGTCGAAGTTCGGAGCACCTCTAACTCCATGACCACGTCCTACGGCTAGATGCTACTATAAATTTGAAGCCCACACTTACGCCTACCTTTTGATATCAAATTATAAATATTGGTGGTACACCAGGAAGAAAATTGATAAAAAAAAATTTTTTTGATTTTTTTTTTCAATTTATATAAGATTGACTCTTTAAGTTTTAGTTTAAACAAAATATATACTTTTCCATATATTAAATAAATCAGAAAACATTCTTTTATTTTACCAAATCTTATAAGTAATAATACTTATATTAAAATACGTAAACTTTTTAGGAGTAAAACTGGATGAAAATTTACTGTGGTATTCACATATGTGCATATAAATTTGCTGTGATATTCACATATGTAGGGTAGGGCGGCGCTAGTTGTGCAATTTTCACTAAATCTAACAGATCTCTTGAACGGTACATCGGATTAATATAATTCGTTCACTATTAGAAAGATAATTTGATCTGATAAAAAATAGTTGAGACAAAAAAAATTTTTTTTGATTTGTTTTAGAAAATATAGTCTTGAGTTTATTAAGCTGCTCAACCTACCCCAGCGGTGTAAATTTGAGCAATTGTGTGGGGTAAGTTGAGCAATAAAAAAATGAATATATTTCTGTTAGGGTTGTTCGCCGAAAAACAAAACTTGCGAAAATTTACACCGCTGGGGTAGGTTGAGCAAATATAAATAAATAAAATTCCTTAATAAAGCATTGCGAAAGAAAACTTGCGAAACAAATCATTTCGTAAGAATACTTACGAAATAGTTCCTTACGGAAGATGCATTCCGGAATGTGCAGTTACGAAAAAGACGCAAAAGATTTTATGTTACGATATATTTAAGATATTAACTGTTAACAGTTTAAATAAAAAATAATAAAATTATAAAAAAATGTTGTCAAATGATTCTTCAAATGTTTATACAAATATACCTAATATATATATATATATATATATATATATATATATATATATATATATATATATATATATATATATATATATATATATATATATATATATATATATATATATATATATATATATATATATATACATATATATACAGTAAAATCCCGTTAAGTTGGACTCTCAATGAACAGATAAACAGTATGCCTTTCTTTTTAAAAAGTATAAAGAGGATGTGTGATAAACAATTAAATACTTTATTATAAAGAACGAGAGATATCTCTAAAGGTAAATGATATCAGAAAGAGTAAAAAGAGAAGAAATATATGTGAAACAGCGGGATGTGAACCTGGGTCTCCGCGGCCAAATGTCTTAACTGAATGAGCTATACGTTCATTCAACTAAGTGAATAGTATTATTTATTTATTATATAATTAAGAAACTATATAAAACAGAATTTACAGAAAATGATACGTATGCAAATAGGATTCTATATATCAGGAAAATGTATAGTAATGTGAACCTTTAGTTGCTTATAATTAATATCTGGACTCGAAAACTAGTTACTTTTAATGGAACAAAATAGGCTGTAGGAGCCTCAGGGAAATTATATTCAGAAATGATTATATTAGACTCAGAGTTAGCTAGAAATTATTACAAAGTGTTTAGGACAGATGTCTAGTACAAAAAGCACAAGATTTCAAGCAAAATGATTTATATTATTTGAAAAAGTTGTTTTACGTACATTTCATCATAATTTAAGTAGAACTTATTAAAGCAAGGGAAACGTGTAGAATTAAGCACAACGAACTCAATCTTAAAAGAATAACTAACAGAAGAGAGGTTGTCACTATTATGAAGGTGACGAAAGATCTGTAATATAGAACATGTAGGTCAAAAAATGCTATCTTAAGTAAAAAGAGTTTGATGAACAAAAGTTACAATGGCTGCGGGAAGCGAACCCAGATCTCTGCGGCAAATTATCACGTATCTAACTGATTGAACTATAAGATCTTATACTTAAATTTATATCTTAATAAAATTGAAAAACAATATTTTCTAAGATCTATACTTCGAAAAGCGTATTCAAACAGGACTCTACATATCTTTAAAATCTGCTAGAACTTTAGTAACGTGCACACTTTTAGAAAATATTGAAATAGGTTTATTTTATCAGAAATATGCTTAAGCTAAAGCATATTTTTGAGTCTCTTTTTACTATTTGCTTCAGCATATTCGAACCTGTTTCAAAAATTTCATATGCTTTAAAAAAAAACATGTATATTTCTACCCATCATTCTTATTTTTAATTTACGTAATGAATTCAAAAAACATCGTTATATATATTTATTATGGCACGTTTCGTAAGTTTATTTCCGTTAAGAATTCTTTCGTATGTTGTGATCCGAAATTTTTTCCATTCGTTTCGAAATAAATTTTATTTTTTATCAATATTCTAAAAATAAAACCATAAAAATTTAATATGTTATTATACTGAAAATAAAAATTCATTATTAACATTATGGGATTTAAAGATGTTAATTTTTACAATTAAAATCAGTCTGGCAAACAAATTTTCTTTATAGACTTCAAAACGTCTTTTGGCGAAAATGTTTGTTTCGCAAATGCGACTTCCGAAACCGCTACTTTCGTATGTTGCAAAATAGTTTTGTTTCGTATGTCAACTTGCGAAATGCTAAATTTCGGAAGTGGCTTTTGCGAAATGAACATCGGCGATTTTAAATGTTTTGTAACATTCGGTACGAAAAAATGTAATTCCTAGTTCTTAATCTCCTTACGAAGGAATGTTTTTTTTCCGGAATTGCACGAAATCTTCCGGTTAACAACCCTAATTTCTGTGACAACTATTAACTTTGTTATAAAACAAAAACATAGCTTACTTATAAATTAAATATATATAGTTTCAATTTTAACAAATTATTTAAGATATGAACAAATTATTTAAGATATGAAATCAATCAATCAATATATATTTCGTCAATGAATAAAAAAGAAAGAAAATTTTACAATGTATTTGTAAAATAAAAATAAAATAAAATATATTTTTAAAATTCTGACAGGAGCAAGCAGAAGACAATACATCTTATCATCTTGCCCCTTTGATAGTAAAATAGTTAACTTTATTTACATGATTAAGTTCGTAAAATCTATAATTATAAAATTAGTTTATTATAAAATTACATATTTTTGAGTTAAACATGCATATTCGTATTAGTAAATACATAAAAATACGACTTAAAAATACAAAAAAATGTTTTTATTGGTTAGATTTAACAAATGTTGTTTTACATTTTTTTAAAATACTTTAATTGAGGCTATAGATTTTATGTCATTATTCAGGATTGAGTTCCACAGACGTGGCCCCGACAAGTAATAGAGTAGTCCGATTTTTTAAGAGTTGTTGATGGTATGTAAAAATTGTCAATAGAATATCTTGTTAAGTATCTGTGATTAATTAAATAGAAATGTGGCTGAAAATATGATAAAAGCATGTTATTGTGAAGTTTAAACATAAACAATAAATTTTGATAAATGTTTACTTCGAATACATTCAGAGCTTTAATTTCTTTTAGTAAAGGCTTGGCGTGTGCATATCTGTCTGCATTAAAAATTAACCGAGTCGCTTGTTTTTGTTTGCTATAAATTTTTTTTTAATAAAGACGAGTGATTACTTGCCCAAGCTATATTACAATAACTAATATAGCTATGTATAAATGAAAAATATAAATTTTTGAGGCACATATTATTCAAAAGGTGCTTCATTTTAAACATGATCCCCAAGGTTAAAGAGATTTTGTTTTCTAATAATTTAATATGATTTTTCCAATTTAAATGTTCATCAAATAATATACCTAAAATTTTCATTGAATGAACATTTTTTATTTTAATGTTGTTTATAAATAAATCTGGAAGTTTAAGGGGTAAGTTATCAGTTCTTGAGGGTTTTGTGAACAAAATGTATTTCGTTTTATCATTATTTAAAGAGAGTCTATTAGCTTTAAACCAGTCGTGGTAATAATTAATAAATAATTTTTAAGGCGCTTTCTTGCTCTTGGGAAAAAATTAATCTAGGTTTTAAATAACCTATGGATGGGTAACCACCTAGGTTTACGCATATATTATAGGATGGGTTACGCATCCTATAATATATGGGCGATTCCGCGAGAAAGAGAAAAAAAAAACTTAGAAAAACATATGCTGACCTCAAATTCTTTTTTTAACTATTTAAGAATACGTTTAAGCCAAAAAGTGGTTAAAAAAAATCATTTTATCATATCATAGCATTGTTTTAAAGTTGTAAGGGTTAAAAAAAAAAGTTAGAAAAACATATGCTGACCTCAAATTCTTTTTTTAACTATTTAAGAATACGTTTAAGCCAAAAAGTGGTTAAAAAAAATCAATTTATCATATCATAGCAATTTATCATATCATAGCATTGTTAGCAAAGTTGTAAGGGTTACGCATATATTATAGGATGGGTTAAGAGGTTAATGTGTTGCGTTTTTATGTAACTATTACTTTTAAGTTTAACTTAAAGACAATATTAAACACTAGCTGGTATGACCCGTGGCAAGTCTAACCCACACCCGATAATTTCTAGTCTTTATAATTTCTTAGTCTTTATACTTTAATTTATTTTAGTAAACGGCAAAAAATAAATTTAATGTTCTGGTAGATGGTAAAATGCGAACTTTAATTGCGAACCATAAATTATAATTTTATGGTTCGCAATTAAAGTTCGCATATTACCATCTACCAAATGATAAAATGCGAACTCTTAAGAAAATTAAATCGAACTTTAATTGCTTGTTAAATTATTATTAACTGAAAAGAAAAGTCTAATTTTAATAAAATATATCGAATACCAATATATTTAATTTAAAAAATCGATGAGCAAATATTTTTAATATCATGAGTTGTGGTCATTAAAATGTCTTGGTTCGCTAAAAAGTACACAGTTTGCATTTTACTGACTACCTAAAGTTCTTGATTTTTAATTTACAGAATTTCTGTTTTTTAAAAAATTTTAATGAATTTTTTCGTAAAGTAGTGTTTAAACTAACCAAAACTAAAATGCAAAAAAAAGAGCTAGAGTTTTTTAAAATTTTTTTCCAAGTTTTTTCAAACGCTCAACTAGAATTAAACAAAAGTTAATATGACCAAAAAAATCAGTTATTAGTCTGATAATCCATCTATCAAATTCAAATGAAAACTTAAAAACCACAGGTCACTGTGTTTAAACGTGATTTTCTCAGAAACTAGGTCCCGCCATGTGGCCCCTATTTATTAAACTTACTGCGCTAATTTATTTTTTCAAATAAATGAAAAAATAAATTAGCGCAGTAAGTTTAATAAAAATCGCCACGTAAAAAAAAATTACGGACAATCCCCAATGAAATATACCAATATAAGTACAGCACTCATGAATTGATTAATTTATTTAACTTTTTTTTTACAAATAAATATAAAAATATAGCCATTAAATACAAATATATGTAAGAAAATTTACACATTTATATTTAATTTATTACTTAGAGATCGTCCATAAATAACGTAACGCAAACTTTCACAATAAACAAAACAAAAAAAGAAATCAAATTTTCCCTCGCAGAGTCTTAATTTAAATAAAAAATCAAAATACCCCATTTCATTTACTGAGAATCGTCGCGTAAAAGAGCTTATTATCTCATACTTCTGTTTTTTAAATATATTTTGCGTTGCGTAATTTATGGACGATCTACGCGCCTCGACTGTTTTAAAATTAAAAAATAATTTAACTTAAAACTCATATTTAAAAATTTTTATATCGAAAAGTAGGCTCACAAATATTACATCTAAAAAAATTCTATAAAAAACATCTTTCCTTTTTTTAATTAGAAAACATCTTTATTAAATACATATGTTTTTATATATTTTTCTAATTAAACTTAAAAAATAAATAAAAATTTTAATCAAATCAAACATATTCTGAAACAAATTGTTTAAATTTCAAGGATATTTACAATAGTACGAGTACAAGGATATTTACAATAGTACTAATATAAAGCAAATACCTAATACAATATATCAATATAGACATAAATATATTAATAGTAATAATAATACTATATTAATAGTGTAAAACTAATTAATTGTATCAAAAATACAATGCAATAAAAATATTTTTTTCTACTGTTTTTTCAAGAAAGAAATTTTGCTTAATTGACACAACTGTTATATCCAAATATATTTTGAAGAACCAAGTGTCGTTGGTATTTGCTTCAATGTATTTGGCTCTATTTTGATTGATATTTCACTAAAATATTTTTCAAGGCGTTTTAAAATAACTTGTAATGGCTCTTTTTCTCCATATTCTCGAATTAAACGACATAGGTGTTCAATGTAAGGCGAACCAAAATAATTTCGAAGATAAGCTGATTGACCTAACGTAAGTTTAAAAAAACTTGACTAAAATTTAAAATAAATAGACATCAACAACAACTAAATAAAATAAAAAGTATTCTAAATTTAGTATACTAAACACTAATTAAAATTAAATCATACTTCGTTAAGAAACATTTTTATCAGGCTTTGTGATAGGGGAAGGGGAAATGGGGGTTTGGTCCAAAATAAATTTTTTTTTAGATCTAATCGACTAAAAGCTAGAGGAATAAAACTATCATAGAAAATTTGAATTGTCTGATTTTTAGACGACAAAAATAAAAACAAATATATACATTTTTTAAAAGTTTATACGCAGCCGTAATTATTGAATTTTACATATGCTTATGATATAACAAGAAAATGAATTTTAAAGATATTAGTAACTCTAGAATTTTTTATTAGACATTCAGACATATTTTTTCATCCCTTTTTTTTAATTTAAAAAAATACACTACAGCCAAGGTACAACCGGTGGTGTACCTTAGACAGGGTAGCCACACTTTTTTGAGATTTAAAATTAGAAGAATTCAAGAGATTTTTTAAGATTTTTTTAGGAGATTTTACCGGAAAACTTGGAAAAACGAATAAAAAAATTAGGATTCATTAGGAGGATTTTAATATTTTTTTAATGAAATTTATATAATATTTAAAAAATTTTAATAAAAAATTTGAAAGTTAAAGTTGAATATTTAAAGGAAAACTTAAAGTTCAAAAAAAAAATTTAAAGAAGATTTTAGGAGTATTTTTGAAATTCAAGTATATTTTAGGAGAATTTAGGTCTTTTTAGGAGGTTTTTTAAATATTAGGATATTTTAGGACTTATTAGGAGGCGTGGCCACCCTGTTATAGGTATGTATGTTTTACCTTGAATTGTTTTAACAGATTAAGTACTCAACATGGTATTAATTTGATATGTTTACTTACAGAATAATTGGACTTCGCAGTAGCCTTATTTGAGATAATATTAATCTAACTAGTTTGATTTATATAAACTATATATTAATTTATATCTATATTGAATTTATATATGTTTGAATTTTTAAATTTACACTAATTTATACTTGGAAGTATTAAAAACTTACAAAAGAAATAAAATTGATATACATAAACATGATTCTTCGATAAAAGTATTTAATAAACAAAAAAGATTTTCTGCAACTTTAGAAAAAAGCTTTGAATTTTTTTGTATATTTTTAATAACAAAATATAAACACCAACTTGGTCGTCTTTAATTATTACCATAAAAAGTTAATTTTATGTTTTTTTAGACATTGATAGATTGCTTGCCAAAACAGGTTGTTTGCAAGGTTGCTAGTCGATCTAGTAGCATTCCTTGCATTTTAGTGTGGACCAGTATTTTTTGGCTTTTATAGTCAAAAGACAATGTTGTGTGTGTGAATGAAATTCCATCAAGTTGAATAAAGAATGGTTTTGTCCATTGTCCGAATCGAAATGTGAAATTTGCAGTAAAAAATTAAAACATAACACAGCAGTTGGTTGGTATAAGTTTAAACTAAAATGTGATGAAACTACAGATACTTTAACCTATTATATACAAATGATTATTATATATATTTATAAGATCAGCATTTAAGGCCATTTAATCTTTATCAAATCTTATGTAAAGTATTTATTGAATTCTTTTTGTTAGGGATTGGTATAACAACATCAGGTAAAGTAAAAACGTATATAAACTGGATTGCAGGCATTAAGATAACTCCAAAGTAGGTTGATATTTTCGTTAATTGTTGTTATGTTTTTTTAATATTTTGCTGCATTAAAATAAAATAAAAATGGATTGCACAGTAGAACAGAAATTAAATTTAAAGTTTTGTTAAGAAATAGTACCTCTTTGGATTTTTAGTTAATGTCTATGAAACCTCATATTGTGACCTCTCGTATTTGAAGCTATTAAATCTGGTAGGTTCTAAATGGTTTTTAAATGATTATTTTATTATTCCTAACATTTTCTTAGCTTTACCAGACACATAATTAACTTGACTAGACATTTTAAGTCGTTTGAAATCATAATTCCTAAATCTTTTTCAATTTTGGCTTCTGGTAGTTCAACTCTATTTATCACTGAATCATACATTATATATGCTAAGTAATTTTGCTACCAATATGCATGCGTTTACATTTGCTGACTTTTTTAAGGCCATAATTGTGACCATGTCATTAATTTGTTTAGATCTGTTTGAGGTTAATGGCAAATAAATTAAAAAACAAAGTTTAACTTGACCTGATCTAAAAAAAAACAAACAAAAGAGAATGGATTTCAAATACTTATAAGGTGTTATTGGTATGTACATTATATTTCTTTGTGCTGCTCCCACCGATATATATATATATATATATATATATATATATATATATATATATATATATATACATATATATATATATATATATATATATATATATATATATATATATATATATATATACATATATATGTATACATATATGCAGTGCTCGAAGTGAGATTTATAAAAAGGTGGCAGGATGGTTTATACTTTATAAAAAGGTGACGGGATGGCATCCCGCCTCACTTCGAGCACTGGATATATGTGTATAATTATATGCATATATGTATATATAAATAC